ACGGAGTTTGTGTCATTTGTCGTGTAGAGTGCAACAGGATGCTTAAATATAATAATATAATATAATATAATAATAATATTATTAATGATATTTCAACTGTCTCAGAGGCTCACCAAACTTCTTATCCAGTGGGTAGCTGTGACACAACTTAATTTAATTAAGAGATGATGAATTCGTGGAGCTTTACCTCCCTCCTTTACTTTTATGGCGCTGTGAAAATTTTAATTTAATTTTCCCCTTCTCTCGCTTCCATCAGGAAACAGTGATCAGCAAACGTCAGAAATCAGGCCTGCTAATAAAACTCTTGTAGGCTTCAGTTTCCAAGACAAAACAGACGTAGAAAGTGATAAATATGCTTTATACATCCTGCGTTTATTTTTTGTACGTTTGTGGGAAGAACACACATACCTACATAATTCGGGGGGGTGGGGGATATAGTGTATTTTTGAAGGCCCATCACCTGATACATATTTACAGAACATACGACAATACTCAGTACCTTATAATTATATCCTTCAGGAAAAATAATAAAAGAATAAAGAGAAAAGAAAAAGGCATACCCATTTTCTTTTTCATCAAGGCAAGGTACAATTGTCCCTGCGCTTAATTAAGCACTATGTCGTGAAAACACCTGCGGGAGTGCAGGTATAGCTCAACCATTCTTGACTGACCCCAAAATTTAAGAATTACTAACCATACGGTAGTCCCCGACAGAAAAACCCGTGGTCCTCCTGGTAGGGTGTTACGCATAAGGTTAACTACTTCATCGTGTAAAACAAATGAGTTCAGAAACCTACAGCATGGCCTCGAATAGGAAGAACAAAAAATGACGGACATTGCATGGGCAAGGTTAAAACTGAGGGGGTTTGATGATGTCAGAGAAGACCGTAGAATATTCAGAGTTAAAGACCGGAGATCCACTGAGATTGACAGAGGTGCTTGGAGGCTTTTGGTGCAGGAGGTCAAGGCCAAGGCCCATAAAGGCCTGCAGAGCCTGTTGGTATGGTATGGTATAACCGTTGGACGACCGAGAAGAGGATGGCAGGACAGTCTCTGAGACGAAACAGGCTAATAAATGTAAAGGATGATGCATTTTCTCATGGTAAAACATTCAAGTGTGAAATGTTCTGGGTTCGAACAAGCGTTTGCTACAGGAAATTAAAGTAACTCAGCGCAAAGATATTGCACATAACAATTTTTCATATACGTTTGACCATGACCGACCGCCTCTGTGTTCTAGTGGTAAGAGTTCCTGGCTACAGATCCAGAGGTTCCGGGTTCGATTCCCGGCGATACCAGATTTTCTGAGAAGCAGTGGGTCTGGAACGGGGTGAGGATAATTGAGGAGCTGCTTCAAGGAAATAGCGACTCCGATCTAGAAAGCTGAAATTTAAGGCCGTGGGGATTCGTTGCGCTGACCACGCGACACCCTCTATCCGCTAAATTTGGCAGTAACTTCGCCGACAAGCGGTGGTCGCTCGGACGGCATAGTTCGCTTGCGGACTCAAGCCACGGAGTTTTTTTTTTACCATGACCACGGAAAAGAAACCAGTTGTTGCTTGGTAGATCATTGTTGGTCACTGAATACCGAACAACAATGAAATCTGTCCGAATGGTAAAGGTTTCGAGAAAAGGTGACATTTAGCAATTTGGGCCCCTAGTCCACGTACCGTTATTTTCATGTAGATACCGCCCCCGCAATTTCATTTAAGGAGAGGTCTCCACAAACTCCTGAAATTTAATCAAAATCGTTAGAGATGTTTCGAGAAAATCGTCATTTTATATTTTAGGACCCATCTGAAAGGTCACTCACCGTACGCAGCGCTACGACGGATGACTTAGGATGGACCTGTTATAATCATGTAACAGGGAACTTTAAAATTCCTGATTTTTTTGTTTGTTTTCATGATAGTTCATTGTTGACGTTGAACATGCTCTTGGATATTTTGTACCATATGGATGTGGGCAGTGTTGCCGACGTTTCGGAGATACTCCTACCCTGAGGTTGGAGGCAGTATTTATATCTCAACATTGAGAACGGTGGCCAAATCCACGTATTTGGAAAGGGAAGGGAGGAATGAATGTTAACAATTCGTCATAGGCCCTGTATATTGTGAACTTTAGCGTTAAGGAAAAGCTGTCCCTGTAACAGGCCGGGAAGGCCGACAGGGTTGTGAGGCGTCGAGGTTCCCACATTTTCTCTAGACCATCGGCTCACAGATGGCGGACTATCAGTGTAAATATATGTAGGAGGCTACAATGCCGATGAGGTAGAGGAGAGAAGGAAATGCACAGAATATGGTGAAAAGGATCACTAAGAGGACCGTGAAAAAGGAAGAATAATATTAGGATTAGTTTGAGGGGAACTCAGCATATAAAATTTTTGTTAATTCATTTCTGTACTCGTAGTAGGTCTGTAACTCAAAATATTTTGTTCTCAGCACTGCACTTAATTCCATCTGTATTGAATACCCCATTCAGAGAAACATTACACACACTGAAGCAGTGATAAATAACCGAAATTCAGGGTTATTATAAATATACGTGTCGAAAGAAGTGGCACCCCCATTAAGTGAAACACGTTGGTGAAACTGACTCCGTGAGTGTCGACGTAACTCAGATCTTGGTTACCAGGTGTCGTGCATGTTTTGTCATTGTTTCCTGTTCCTGAATCGCCATTGCACTGCTGCAACATGCACGACATCTTGTGACCCAGTTTAGAATTACGTTGATTCATACTAACAGTGTTTCACATTGTAAGCTTATCACTTGTTTCTGAACACTGAAAGTGTAAAGAAAATGTGTAGTAACGCTGTGTTAAGCTAATAACCTTTGTATCGTTGATCCCTGTGAGGTCGTGGAACTCTTCTCGTGTGATCATGAAGGCTGCTAGGTTGGCTGTGTAGATGGCGAGGAAAATGAGTGCGAACATGGCCCACACATTGGCCATACATCGGGCTGTATATCCTCTGGGACAGTCCACATTTACAGCTGCCTGGAAGAGGACTGCCCATACCAGCCAGAGCGTCCGACACAGTGAGAATCTGTGTTCTCTAGGAGTCGTCATCTGCGGGCCCAGAAGAGTCACTCGGATAATTTACTATTGGAAGGTTTTGTAAAATTCCAGCCTCGGCAACACAGTGGTCTGTGAATTACTTTATGATGATGCATCTCAACAGTATACAGAGTGGTCCAAAAAGTCTGTTAACCCACAACATTATGACGTATTAGCAGGAATGAACATGGAGGGGTCTCATTTCTAACAATTTTTGTAAATTCATGAAGTAACAAAGAAAAGTCCTAGGTATTTTAATGTACATTTTACTAACTAGTTAACTGGATATTTTGACCACGCTGTATAACGTCGAATTATACCGTGATTAGGACCGCCACTGCGGTCTTGTGGTCAGAGTTCCTGGCTAGAGATCCAGAGGTTCCGTGTTCGATTCGCGGTGCTACCAGATTTTCTGAGAAGTAGTGGGTCTGGAACGGGGTCCACTCAGTCTCGTGAGGATAAGTGAGGACATATTTCAAGGAAATTGCGGCTCCGGTCTAGAAAACCGAGATTAACGGCCGTGGGGATCCGCTGCGCTGACCACGCAACACCCTCTATCCACTAAAGTTGGCACTAACTTCGCCGACAAACGGCGGTCGCTCGGTCGGTATAGTTCGCTTGCAGACTACAGGCCACGGAGTTTTTTTTTAGAGTGTTATAACTGGCTTACGGAATTTCAGGGTGATGTAAGTTGCCGGGGTTGGTAGTTCTGTGTTTATGAATTCTGAAATGTACGAGGCTGTCGCTTTGTTGTAAACACCCCGATTCTCTCTCCTTTTTTTCAGACTCCAAAGTTAATAATGCTGTCTCAAAAGAGGTTCAACTTTTCATATGGGCATGTGACATGTGGTCTCCGTCGTTGGGAAGGAACTCAGCACAAATCCCTGTTTTAGTTTTAACTTCTAACCGTGCACTCCTGACGTAGAACTGAGGTCTGCGGCCTTGGAAACAACTTACAATGAAGTAAGAGAGCTCAAGTAATAATTGATACCAACCTTCGCATCGTAGCCATAAGGACTAAGCCATTCGAAAAAGAAAATTGTAAAGGCAGCGACGTGAACTGCAACCAGGGCTACCAACATCCACATGGCGGAGTCAAATGGCTCTGAAACAGAGAATACTAAGTTGGATTTGAGGTACTCTCAGCGGTGGCCACGGAGAGTGCTATCTTATGAGATGTGACGCCAAATATCCTGATAGAAGTTTACTGACGTTTCGGAGGAAATTACTGCTTTTAGGACCAAATGATAAGCCAAGCAGTGAAGCATCAGGCTTGCTGGCTTCTCGGTTGGCTTACTCTTTGACCGTGAAGATGGTGGCAGTGAGTTCGCCTGAAACTTTTGGAAACTTATACGAGTTTCTCTCTCTCTCTCCTCATGCTGATTTCTCAGTTTCGTGTTAATTTTACGGACAGTAGGACTCCTTGGATGGGTGATCAGCTCGTCGCAAGTCATATACCTAACACAGGACAATACAAACACAATAAACGCACACCAGATATCCATGCTTTGTGTGGGATTCGAACCCACGAACCCATGCTCGCACCGGTTCTTCGCTTGCGGATTTTCTTCCTTTTTTCTTCTACCCTGAAGATGGAGGCGATAGGTTCCTCCGAAACGTCGGTTAACACAATACCTACACGGCGCCACATCCAAGAAGACTGCTCTCTTCACTATGTACACGCTGAAGAGTTCTATCTTCTCCGATATAACGCCGTGTAACCCGCTGAAAGTTAACCGATTTTTCGGAGGAACATGTCGCAGGGCAAAATCATGACATAAAGATAGCTAACAGATGTTTTGAAAATGTGGCACAGTTCAGAACGACTATAACAAAAACTGATTCAGGAGGAAATTAACAGGAGACTGAACTCGGGTAATGCTTGCTACCATTCAGTCCAGAACCTTTTGTCTTCTCGTCTGCTGTCCAAAACATAAAAGTTAGAATATACAAAACTATAATATTGCCTGTGGTTCTGTATGGGTGTGAAACTTGGTCTCCGACATTAAGGGAGTAAATAGACTGAGGGTGTTTGAGAACAGGGTGTTGAGGAGAATATTTGGACCGAAGAGAGACGAAGTGACACGAGGTTGGAGAAAACTGCATAATGAGGAGCTTCACAACTTGTACTCTTCACCAAGCTTAATTAGAAGGATCAAGTCATGGAGGATGAGATGGGCAGGGCATGTACCACGAATTGGGGAGAAGAGGAATGCATGTAGAATATTGGTGGGAAAGCCAGAGGAAAGAGACTATTGGAAAACCAAGACGCAGGTGGGTGAACAATATTAAAATGGATCTTAGAGATATAGGATGGGGTGGTACGGATTGGATTGATCTGGCTGAGGATAGGGACCATTGGAGGGCTCTTGTGAACACGGTAATGAACCTTCGGGTTCCATAAAATGCTGGGAAATTCTTGAGTGGCTGCAGAATTGGCGGCTTCTCAAGAAGAATTCAAATCCATGAAGTTAGTTAGTTCGTAGTTAGTTAGTTAGTTAGTTAGGTTTAAATACTCTTTCAGTATCGAGAATCTGGATGATAGGTAATGATGTACTGGAAATGATCTTGTAAAGAAGCAGCCCTAGAAGAATAGCAGTACTATGGCGAAATTTGCATCGAGAACCCAGGAAACCTCACTACAAATCGAAGTGAGGATAGCCGATGTTGTTGTCCAGATTCGAACCGAGAGTATCAAAATGTGAGTCTAGAACTTTACCAGCATGTTCAGTTACAGTATTTTTATTCCTGAAATTCAGAATAAGAATTTCCATCTTTCATACGGTTTCCCATTTCGCAACGTTATGCTACGAAAAAGAAAGTTTAGTTGAGTTACTCTTACATCTGCGTCGCTGACGTAACCCAATTTGACTTTAGGTTTCCCAAAGATGAAAGGTTAAATTTCGAGGGATTCAATACCAATCATGAACTTTGATGGGGTTAGAAACAGCCAAGTAGGAAAGAGTTCTTGAAATGTTTTCAATGTTGGGTACATAGATGAGAAATATATGCACTTGAGTGGAAGAAGTCTGGCCTCAAACGTGAAAAAAGTTCGCTTTCTCTGTTTTCAGCTATAAACAATTTACATCGAAACGGAGTGTGCTCTCAACCCAACAGGTTGGCATAGACAGTATAACTCAGTCAGCTAACCGGATTGAGGTTTCCCATGGTTTTTCTCAGTCCCTTCACAAATCCCGAGATATTACCCTGATTATGACGCTACCACTTAATTCTAATTTTTAAAAAAAAATTTTATATATCATTCATCCTATCTTTCGACTCGTATAGCCTACAGCACCTTAAATTAATAGACTAGAGAATTCTGAAACGTGAAGAAGTTCCCAGCCGATCGCAGTGGTCGTGCGGCGTAAAGCATGAACTGCCTTCGCTCGCTCAAAAGCTGGGATCGTGGGTTCGAATCCCACTCAAGGCGTGGATATCTGTGCACGTTTATTCTGTGTTTGTGTTGTGTGTGTAGGTAGCGACCTTGCGACGGGCTGATCCCCTGTCCAAGGAGTCCTACCGACTGTGTATAGGATTAAGAAACTGAAAAATGGGGCCAAGGTCCAACAAAGGGCTGTAGAGCCATAGATAGATGAAGTTCTTGCTTTATATTTTTACTAATCAGTAACTAACATTGAAAAGAAACGTGCTTTTAAGCAAAGAGTTTGGCAGAGATATTAACGCTCTTGACTTATGATATTCGGGAGGGTTTCAGTTCGAATCACGGCCAGAGTACCAGCTATCCTGACTGAATTTTTCCGTGGGTTTCCACAGTTCCTACAGGAGAAGAAATGAAACAGGTAAATCGTTGGGAAGTGAAGAAGGTAAGGGGTCAGGAAGTGAAGAAGGTAATACGTTTGTAGCGATGAAAGGGCTGCGTTAGGTTTAAGTTTTGGTTGAATATTGGGAGGTCGAAATTTGAATTAAGAAATTTATCTAAATATTTAAAAATTAAAATTTTCATTACACAAAATACAGATTTTCTTCATCACACGGAACAATAAGTTAATGCTGACTGTATTTTGAGAACCATACGAAACACATAAAATATTTAGACAAAATTAAAAAGGAAGGTTTATGTAGTAACGCTCTGTCCTTTAAAGTGTAAATATTCTATTAACCGAAGCGTCTGTCGTTGATGCAGTTTTGTTTATGGATTCATGACATAGCGACAGGAAAATTCCTTTTTATTTACGTCATTAGTAACGTGAAACTGATAAATGGATTTGATTTTACAGTGGCTCGTGATACTTTGAACTCTTAATGGTATTATTGGGAGTAAAGCTTTGTGTAAAGTGACTGCAGGTCGACATCACGTGATTTGTAATTGTTTATGATGCAACGATGCGATAAATACCTTTGTTTCCAAGCATGAAACTGTCAACCTGTTCAAGCATCAGACAAATTTGGTAGAACACAGATTTACATTATGTGTCATCGAAGTTTATCCTTAACTTGACAACATTGTACATACACTAATTATATGACATAGAGTTTAAATTAAAATCAAATATTTGTCAAAATGGAACACTACATCTGCATTGAACTCGGAATATTTAGAGGTCGAAACGCAACATCCTTAACAGTTTATCGTAATATGCCAAATAATTTCTAAACAGTGCGACATCCTACTCAGCATTAATTAAAAAGTCCTTACTTAGGCAAATTAGTCTCTGTAATGCCCTAGCGGCGCAGGGGGGGAATGGAGGTATCCCACCCGCTGCCGCCACTGTAATGCCGTGGCGCAGGGGGGCGTGGAGTCAGCCTCCTCTGCTACCACTGTACCGCCGCAAGTAGGGGGG